ATATCGGTTTCATTGCACCTTATCCCTTCATCGTTGCAATCGGGCACCAATGCATTTACAAGTACTGAGAATGCATACAAGTTGTGATATGCAATCAGGTATCCGTATCATGGACGAGAGTGGCGTTGGGTGTTCATCGAGTTCTTGGCACAAAGTTTTCACGGTCTTGAAACCGCCGTGGATCCATCTTGAATTGAGAGCGACGATCACCCGCTAGGTGTGAACAGGCTGTTGATATATCAGGGGTTGGAGTTCATCTTCAAGCATTCAAGCGCGACGCCCGCTGTGCGTGGGCCTTCGAAAACGGCTTTTAGACCATTGTTATCCACAGCGTCCGAGATCGACATCCCAACACTCCTCGTTTGTCGATTAGGTGGATACAATCTGGCCAGAACCCTCGACTTGGAGGGTCACGCGGCGTTCATGATGTTTTGCAGATGCATTTTGCCCGACAGTCTGGGTGCTGCGGCTCCTGTCAGGACTTAGTTCCTATCAGTCTTGGGTCCGCAAAGCTGACTGATAGCCTTGGCGGCAAATATTGCTTCGCCATGTCATTTTTCTCCTGGACAATTGTGACAGCGAAAACGAGAACAAGCGCGTCAAAAGACCGCAACGATCTATCTAGCTTTCCGCCATAGTCTTCCGCCTCATCGGCTATTGATAAGTCCGCGTCTTTACCTGCCGACCTCTGAATTGCCGCGCAATCGCGGCTTCCTGCTCGGATACGTGTCTACGTTTCGATTTACCTTTCAAGGCTTACATCTGCATTCAGATTTACGAGACAAGAGAGACAATAGTCACAATAATTCTCCACTTAGGAGGTGGCTGGTCAGTGCACCCCTGTTGTTTTGAGCGGACCGCAAGCCACCAAATGAGAACTTTATTATAGTATGAATGGAACAGCTTTTGAAGTCTTGCGTGTGCGTTTTGACGTACTCCGCAAATCCCCGTGTTAGAGGGAATGCTGGGTAAATTTCTGCTCGATTGCGGGTTCTATGCAAGATTTATCCCGGATATCCAGCCATTTGCCCAGTGCCCTACGAATTGAACAGTGCCTAGTGTGGCATCTGGCAGGGCCTTGCTGGATTGAGATCGCCGACGTTATGGTTTCCATGCTGTATTCGTACCTTACATAACTCAACCGGCCGAGTCCGTTTAAAGTCAGAAAGATTGCTCCGAATCCTTAATCGGGGGCATTTACAAGTCCATTACGGGGCTGAGCGGTGTCGCCGACGGACGCCAATATCGTGAAACCCCCGGAGACTTCCATGTCAATAGAACAACAAGCGAGACAGTGGTGCCGTAAGCGCGCGGGCGCCCGTGGGTTCTATCATTACAAGCGAAAACAATTAGATCACTGAAGGGCCAAGGCATATGGATTGACATGAAATTACGGGCATCTCCTGCACTTTCCAATGTGACAAGAGGCAGGTTGCGTAAGTTGTCTCCCCAACGACAAGTTCCAGCAAGCTAGGCTAGGTACTCTGTGGTTGACAATTGTCTGTGCGATCGCAGCAATTAAGAAGATTTTCTTGGTTTTCTGAATAAGGAAAGTACTTACGGTGCACTCTGAGCAAAGTAGTGGACAAGCCGCCTTTACGAGAGAAAGCAAAAGATATGACTATGAACTCACCATCGCCATAACGATTAACCCTGTTCGCCACGAGCTCGCACTTCGTCGCGCGAGAAACAAGATCTCGCCCAGCCGCCTCCAATGATACCTTCTGACTCGCAACGACACGGTTAGCCGAGCGCTTGAAAGGAAGTACGTTACCGACGTTATGGCACATTGTGGAAATTTCCCCATCGTGGGTACGAGGACATGACTCCAGCAAAGGTTACACAATCATCTATGTACGCTCTTAGAAATGACGTGACAATCCTTGCGAAGAAGTCTCCTCTCTCTTCTTTCTAGAAGAGCCGCCGGGTGCGCTTATGGCACTTGTATGCGCCGCCCATAGAAGGGTGCCACTTTGGACCATATCAATCAAGCCAAAGGAAAATCGGCTTCAAAAAAAGTCCGTCGAGGCTGCTCACCGCCCTCCCACCCAGCCGTAATAGGTGACTAAGAGCTTCAAATTCCTCTGAGCATGTTTTTGATCTTGTTTCAAATCTCGGTTGAATGCTACCGAGCCAGCCTGTAATTCCTGAAAAAAATCCTCGTTGTCTCCTTTTCCACATCGGGGACCACTTGGTGCTTCTATTAGAGTTTGGAGCGACGCTCAACTCCACTCATTAAACTTTATTCCTCACGTGCCTGCTGCTTCCTGTGCGCTGTCTGTTCGCTTGCGTGGGCTGCACATTTCGCATAGCCGTACGACCAATTTCTCCGTGAACATGGGGCGACGTTAGTTTTTTCGTCTAAGTGCCATCCGCAACCCACGTTCCGTATGCTGCGATGAAGATCTCAAGGGTTTGTGAGAGATAGCCTCGAAATTGACAGGCTGTTAAGATCAACCGAAATTCCGAAAGCGACGCCGAGCCGCCCCTTATGAGCTTCTCTTTTGGCCTGTCATCGCCGAGAAGCTTTCATGAGGCGATCTCTCAGGCTCTTCTACCCCTTGCCCCCCACGGCACGAAGGCATGGGTGGGCTGGCTTACAGGCACAATGCCGATGTCTGTGGTCACTGTGAATAGGTGGTATGAGTTCGGGAGAGGGGGATGAATGGACGAATTAGGCTGCTCGGCCGAACGCCGAACGATCCGGATCCCTGGCCGTTTTGGACCCCAAGCGCGGCGTTCTCTACACTGTTCCATACCTTGGCAGGGTCTCTTCGTCAACTTCACCTTGGCATGGGCAACCTCACTCGTCGACTGATTTTAGAGTTCTCACTCATTGGCAGAGGCTTAGCCAAACCAGGCATGGGGTGCGCTGCCATATGGCATCTTGACAGATGAAGAGAGGCATGGTTCTCCTGGCCTTCCCGGACGCCATCCCGCGAGCTAAGAACGTTGCGCCCGTTGGGCTTCAAGGCTCCCCAGGGAGGCGTTACCCCGCGGACGTCGGACATCTCATGCCGGACATTGGTCTACCAGCGTTTACCGCTCGCTCGTACAAGTAACGAGACCACGCCAAGAGTGAACATTTCATGATGGCTCATAGACCACCGTAGTCTTTCTTTTTGACTTGTCTTTTGGCGGAGGAACAACCTGGGTTCAACGGGCAAGGTCGGCAGGCACGACGGTCATGATAATCTCATAATCATACCAAGAACCGGTAACTATCCGCAATCATGTACACACGAACACACACTCTCTCGCCGCTCCCGACGGTTCTTCGACATGGGCTCAAAGCCGTCGTTACGCTCTCGTTTTTCTCTCTCGTCACTTCCTTCACACTCCTGGTATACCTAATTGGCAGACTCGTATGTTGGTATCGGAGGACGAGCCCGAAGAAGGAACAACAGCTACCTGCCACCACCACACAGGTTCCAGTCATCGCCGGTCTACCCCACGAACTCGAGGCCCAGTATAACGCAAACGGACAGACGAAGGGATCGAGAGTCCCGAATCAGTTCCTCATTCTCCTACTCAACGTGCTCTTTGCCGATGCCATCCAGGCCTGCGCTTTCTTCCTCGACGTTGTCTGGTTGGTGGAGGATAAGATCACCGACGACTCGGCCGCGTGCTGGGCCCAGGGATGGTTCATCTCTACGGGTGACCTGGCGTCTACCGCCTTTGTGGCGTTTATCGCAGTACACACCTATCTCACCCTTGTCAGAGGTCTCAAGATCTCGTGCAAGGCCTTCTACAGCACTATCTTTCTTTTGTGGTTCTTTGTTTTGTTTATGTCGGTACTTGGGGTGATCATCACCAACAACGGCGCTGGTAAAGGTGGTTTCTATGTCCGCGACATCACTTGGGTAAGGCCTTCTCTCCGGCTCGAGCCTGTCATCAACCATATGCTTACTTCAACCGTCATAGTGTTGGATCAACTCAGAATATGAGGCAATGCGGATGTACTTACACTATGCCTGGATGCTCACCCTAATCATTACCGGAACCGTTTCGTATGTCTTGGTCTTCGTCCACGTTCACCGGGCAGACAAGGCATTCCGAAGCGCCAGGAAGGCAGCCGCTGCTGCGGAAGAAGCCTCATGCGACGGCGTACTGAGTCCTTCGACCTTGCCGAACGTCATGTCGCAGCACAACCAAAAGACAGAGGTCCACAAGCGCATCCTCTTCCTCTTCTACCCCATTGTCTTCCTCCTATGCACAGCGCCGCTGGCCCTGGGACGTATCCTCAGCAGCGGGGGGATCAAGCTTTCGGCAGAATACCTCATCTTTGCCGGCTGCATGATCACTTCCAACGGATGGATCGACGTCCTCATCTTCTCGAGCACGCGAAGCGGCATTCTCTTTGACGCGCCCGTCGACGAGCAAAACGTCGGCCTAGACACGTTCAACTTCACGCCCCTGGGCCAACAGTATGGCCACAGGGTCTGGATTGAGGGTGGCGCTTCGAAAGACGACTCGCATAACAGGAAGCCGAGCGTATTTCGCAGACCCTCGCGCCGCGCCAGGCTTGGCTCCGAGGCCAGCCACGACCGTAGCGAGAGTCAGACGTCGTTGCACGACCGGGACGTGTCTGGCCTCAAGGGCATTCAGATGGAGACTGTGACTCGGATCTTTGTCGAAGAGGTGGACCCTGCGAAGCATAAGAAGTACGCTAATCGGACATTAAACTCGATGCCATCTGATGAGAGCGTTGGCGAACGCGTGCAGCAGAGCATAGACTCCTACAGATGAAGTGCTTAAGTTGTTCGTTGCGCTCACCATGCTGAGTTCGATTGCGAGAACTTGGTTGCCGATGAGATTGATTCTTCTTGGGTCGGCGTGACTCACTAGCTGCGTTGTGGCGTCGTGGCGGTGAATCTGTTACCTGAGCTGAAGATCAGAAAAGCTGCTGTCTCTCCGTCGACATCTCCGCCGGCCTTGGCTCTGGATTGCTCCCTCATCATCCATATGCAACACGTCAGTCATCTTCAAGTGAGTTGAAGATGGCTCCAACCACTCATCAACCAAGCAGAGGCCAAGCTTCGAAGACAACAACGCCCCTCAGACAGATTAGGGCCTATTTCGACGATGAGACTATCACGGTCTACCAAGCGTACAACGCCGCCATCGCAGAGGCAGCTGTTACTGCTCAGAAACTCGACGCGTCCCCAGAATTCAAACTTACCCGCATGACCTGGATCAAACCAAGCTGGGCATGGATGCTGTACCGCGCAGGTTATTCATACAAAGATCGCGGCCAGGAGCGCATCTTGGCGATCAAAATGACCCACGCCGATTTCGTCGATCTTCTTCGTCAAAGCGTTTTAACCCACGGCAGCGGTTTGGATAAGGGCGACGGGCGGGTGCGCGTCCAATGGGACCCAGAACGTGATGTGCGGTTGGAGAAGCTTTCGCATCGAAGCATTCAGATTGGGATTCCTGCTGGCATCTGCGGCGCTTGGGTTGCTGAAGGAATAGTTGGTATTGAAGACGTGACGGCCAGAGTGCGGGAGCTGAAAAGAGTCTTGGACGAGCGGCCTGATGTCGGTGATGATGAGCTGGTGGCGTTAGGCCTGGTTCCCACTGAGAAGGAATTCCCAGTTCCCGAAGACGTTGGAGATATCTTGGGAATAGATTCCTTCCTTGAAAATAAGTAGCTTTTGATATTAGCGTTAAAACACCAATTTCCTTGACCATTGAACAGCTACCAGGTATTTGACTGAGATGAACAACGAAGCCCGCCTTGGTGAGATCTCTCGAATTCTTGGTTAATGGAATTTTGGCATCAACGACACCCGAGTTCAAACTCTGCTCCAGTAACAGTGTTCCGGAAGAAGAAGAAGGGGGCCTAGCATATCAACAAATTCTTCTCTACAGCCTCCCGGAGATCTGCCGAACGTCAGCCGTGTTCAGCTCCGGACTTGTCCCCGAAGAGTGGGGCCGGCTCACCGGACTTTAGCAACTTAACCGCATTCCGCTTATCTCCAGGTTACCAGGGTTCCCGGTGTTGTCACCAATTTTGTCTTCGATCCTCCCTTGGACCCTTTGCTGTGCTACCTGAATGCATGCATGTATGCGTCGAGAGCACGCGTCGCTGGTCAGTCGGGAGACAATCAAAAGGCGGATGCATCTCGACTTCACTTTGAATCGGAGCTTTCACAAGCCATATCCGAGAATGGCAACCTAGGCGCGGATTATCGGCAGAAGTTCCCAAACTCTGGCTGAGATGATAGTGAGGGGTCGTTGAACTTAATCAAAGGAACTTAGGAAGAGTTTTGGATGCAGACGAGGATCACTGGCACCACGCACATCCAAGACTCTGCTTCACACCGCCTGGCGAGGCGCTCCCAGTCATTTGTTCTCTTTCTATCATTGGACGCTCCTCATAAGATACGAGATATGCGTGAGATTTCCGGCCAACTGCCCTGTGCTGCGACACAAGGAACACACGTTCTCGGCTCGTCGATCAGCTTGGACCGCAACATGTGGGGCGCGTCAGCAAGCTGCAGTTGAGTGGATCGTGTCGAGTTGTTAGTCTGGACGGCAACGAATTCTGAAAGCTGTCTGTTCGTGCGGAGTTTGTTAATAAAACCAAAGACCTCTTCAGGTACTTCAGTATCTAGAGTGGCGTGAGTGGATCTAGTCATCAGCTCTTACGGAAAACGTTAGTGCAAAAAGAGCAATCTGCATCACGTACTGTAACATGGAGCGGCAATGACGCTCGGGGAGTTATCTCTGTGATGAAACCACCCCAAATCCAGGGAAATAACGGTCATAACAGAGAGAACAAGACAGATCCTAACGGCCAATGGCGGAGTTGGAAAGTCAATTGAGTCATGGGGAACGCCATCCCTCCTAACTCCGTGTCGTGCTTCAAACAACGGCACAAACAGCATGCTGTGTAATACTGGGTGCGGGATCCGCCACCACGCTAGAGACGCCACGGCGAAAGTCGAAAGAAAACCCGGCCCCACCCCCAGAGGAATTTGGATTCCGTCTCTGGTGAAAAACAAAGTGAGCTTGGCCTTTTGGGGATTAATAATGGGCGCTTGTATGAGTTGCCGGAACGAAAGCACATGCAAGTCCCCGTTGGCTGGAAATTAATGTTGGGCTTGTATGTCATCATGGCAAACTATGCGTGGGTTTCCTCACCCCTCAAGATAAGGGTCACATCGACTCTTTCACTCTCGGCGTTGGTCATAAATGTTTCCCACGGAGCAGATGAGATTTGATCTACTACTCCACAGGGTTTGATACAACCCTCTTTGGGTGAGCCCTGCATGCCCTATCCTGATTCAAACCCCTTGCTGCTAATGCTGGCGGACAGTCGCGGATTACAAATTTTCCTCCGCGGAGGGCATGTTGAGGACGCTAATGGCAACGTTGCCGGCCGGTGGGCTACATCATGCGGAGTCTACCTTAGCCTTCAAAGACTTGACATAATAGACAGGGTGCATTCGATACGCTTATTTGTATGCCAGCTGGTTCACCTCAAAGCTTCTTGAGCCTGACGTCCAAGCCTTCTGCTATTGCTGCTGTTGATCACTTGCATTTTCCATCTCTTCCAGATCTCCTTATCCAGCTACCTCGACCTACCTGACCGACTCCCAGCGTCATCAACTTGACCAATAGACTTTCGCACTCACAGAGATACCCCTGTCTTTCTCATTTTCTATTTCGACAACAACACCATGGCGGAGGCCGCGATACCAGAGGAAGACGGCCGCTGGGGCGAGAATGCGGCAGGCGAAATCTCAGTAAACGCCGCACTGGAGGAGTATCACGATCTTGAGAAGGAGTTAAGCACGATTCAACACCGCCACTCTACTGCATATCAACTGAAGCCTTCAGAACACCATGGCGATGCCGGAGGAGAGAGCGACTCGACAATCGCACCTAGTCTATCTGGCAATGACACATTCGACCTGCCCGACTTTCTCAGGAGGGGAATCATGGACATGCGCACACCGAGCGGCGGGCCAGCAAAGAGACTAGGTGTTTCCTTCAAGAATTTGACAGTAAAGGGCATCGAATCATCGACAAAGCAAGTGACGACGTTTCCCCGGGATCTAGTCAACACTTTCGGACCAGATTTTTACCACTTTATTACTGGCATCTTTCCCAAGCTGAAGATTCACAAAGAGCCGACTGTCGATCTCATTAGGAACATGACAGGAACGGTGCGACACGGGGAGATTATGCTGGTTCTCGGGCGACCAGGTTCCGGATGTTCGACCTTTCTGAAGGCCATTGCCAATCACCGGAACGAATACGCCAAGGTCGATGGAGAAGTACATTATGGCGTTATACCGGCAGAAGATCAACTGGAGCGGTATCGGGGCGAAGTCGTGTACTGCGAAGAGGACGATCGGCATTTCCCATCGCTCACGGTCTGGCAGACTTTGTGGTTCGCCTTGAAGACAAAGACACGGAAAAGAGAGCAATGGACCATCCCACTGATTCTCGATTCGCTTCTTCAAATGTTTGGAATCGATCACACCAAGAACACGTTAGTTGGCGATGAACACATTCGAGGCGAGTTGCTTGAACTTCTGACAACCTTGAAGCAACCTCTGCTGACTATTCTCAGGTGTTTCTGGAGGCGAGCGGAAACGTGTGAGTCTGGCTGAGACGCTAGCCACACGAGCATCTGTTGTTTGCTGGGACAACTCTACCCGAGGACTCGATGCCAGCACGGCTCTCAGTTTCGCCAAGTCGCTCCGCGTCTACACCGATGTTAGTGGGAGGACGACCCTCGTGACACTCTACCAAGCTGGAGAGTCAATCTACGAATTAATGGATAAGGTCCTTGTCATAGATGGCGGACGCATGCTGTTCCAGGGACCTGGCGATGAGGCGAAGAAATACTTTGAGGACTTGGGATACCTATGCCCTCCTAGACAGTGAGTGATAGTGGACGTATTATCAAAAGGTTGAGAAGCTAACAAACCTGCCCTTCAGAACTACTGCCGACTTTCTCACTTCCATCGCCGACAAGAACGCCCGTCATTTCCAGCCCGGCCGAGAAGAAACGGCTCCAAAGACACCGGAAGAACTTGAACGGACATTCTTGGAGAGCGAACACTACCAGCGCATCCTCCAAGATGTCGAGGAATACGAACGGGGCAGCAGGTCAGCGAACAACGACAAGCACCGAATGTTCGCAGCGACCGTCAAGGACGCAAAGAGCAAGACTGTCATCGGCGATTCCATCTATACCGTCTCATTTTTCAAACAAGTGGCTGCCTGCACCAAGCGCCAGGCATGGCTCCTGTGGGGTGACCGGAGCTCCTTTTACACGAAGCTCGCCATCATCATTGCCAACAGTCTCATCGTCTCGTCGCTTTTCTACGGCTCCGGACAGGACACGTCTTCCGTCTTTGCGAGAGGCGGTGTGGCTTTCTTCTCGATTGCCTTTATCGGATGGCTTCAGTTTGCAGAACTCGTCCCTGCGATTGATGGTAGAACGACGATTGAGAGGCAGAGAGTGTTTGCCTTCTACAGGCCATCTGCTGTGGTCATTGCGAGGATGCTCTTGGACTTCCCACTGATCCTCATCATGACGCTCTTGTTCTCCATACCAGTCTACTTCTTGGCGCAATTCGACGTTGACGCCTCCAAATTCTGGATCTACACACTCATCGTGTACACGGCTACCTTTTGTCTAACAACCATGTACCGGATGTTTGCCTCACTTTCATCCACCGTTGACGATTCTATCCGGTTTGTTGGCGTCGGTAAGTCCGCTTATCCGGCTCAGTAACTCTCTTGAAGATCAATCTAACTGACAATATCAGTCCTCAACATCATGTTCATCATGACGGGATATGTCATCCCCAAACCCAATCTCCTCAGCGACGCCATCTGGTTCGGCTGGATCTACTACATCAATCCCGTAGCCTACGGATTTGAAGCCCTTCAAGCCAACGAGTTCTTTGGACGAGAAATGCAATGCAGCGAGTCTCAGCTCGTGCCACGCGGCCCCGGATCCGATCCCACTTATCAAGGCTGTAGTCTTCCTGGCTCGACCATGGGCAGCACCATCGTCAGCGGTCCTGACTATCTACAGGCTTCGTTTCAATAGTAAGATTCGCATACCAGTTTCTCCCTCATAGGTTCACACTGACAACATGTAGCTCGAGAGCGAACCTATGGCGTAATTTTGGCATTATGATCGCCTTCACCGTCTTCTTCCTCGCCATGACCGTCTTGGCTGTCGACACGATTCGCTTCAAGGGATCTGGTGCCCAGTCCCTGATTTTCGCGAAACCCCGGGATGACAAGAACGTGGACAACGAGAAGAGCGGGCCTGCGGAAGAGAACGAAGAGGCATTTGAGCCCATCGGCGACGGCCAAAGTGTTTTCACATTCGAGGACATCAATTACACAGTACCTTACGGCAACGGCGAACGACAACTCTTGCACGGCGTCTGCGGATACGCCAAGCCTGGAAAGATGATCGCGCTGATGGGCAGCTCGGGCGCTGGCAAGACGACCCTTCTCAACACCATCGCCCAGAGACAGAAGATTGGTGTCGTGACGGGGAATATGCTTGTGAACGGGGCTAGCCTGGGGCCTGAGTTCCAGAGAGGCACTGGTTTCTGTGAGCAGAGAGACATCCACGAGGGTACCGCCACGATCAGAGAGGCATTGGAGTTTTCTGCGCTTCTTCGGCAGGAACGCGCGATCCCTCGTGAGGAGAAGATTGCGTACGTGGATCGGATCATTCACCTTCTGGAACTGGGTGATTTGCAGCACGCCATCATATCTTCCTTGACAGTGGAGCAGAGGAAGAGAGTCACGATTGGAGTTGAACTCGGTAAGCCTTCCATCTGATGAAGTCCTTTCTCCACCCGAGAATCTCAACTGACATACAAGTAGCTGCTAAACCGAGTCTCCTCCTCTTCCTTGATGAACCCACGAGTGGTCTCGACAGCCAATCTGCATTCTCCATTGTCCGATTCCTCCGAAAGCTTTGCGACGCTGGGCAAGCCATCATCTGCACAATTCACCAGCCCTCTTCCGATCTCATCGAGCAGTTCGACATGATCTTGGCCCTCAACCGAGGCGGCAACACTTTCTACTTTGGCCCCGTCGGCACCAATGGCTCAGTTGTCATCGACTACTTCACACAGAGAGGCTTCCCTTGCCCCCCAAGCCGCAACGTCGCTGAGTTCATCCTTGAGACGGCATCGCAATCGTCGGTCAAGGACGGCAAGCGCATCGACTGGAACGAGGAGTGGCGCAACTCGGCGGAGCACCGAGCGATTATTGCAGAAATCGATCAGATCACTGCCGAGAGACAGGCCCCGCCAGAGAGGTCGACGGCGCAGACGGAGTTTGCCGCCTCAACTGCCTATCAGTGCCTCCTTCTCACGAGGAGGATGTTCGTCCAACATTGGAGAGAGCCCCAGTACATGTACAGCAGAGTGTTTGTGCATACAATCATGGGTATCTTCAACGGATTCGTAAGTTTGGCAACTGCTCCTCTCCGGAATCGTGATAGGAGCTAACTTCTTGGTAGACATTTTGGATGCTTGGAAACGACATCGCAGGCATGCAGAACCGCATGTTCAGTGCCATTATTCTCATCTTCTTCGTACCTCCCACAGTTGTCAACAGCGTCGTGATCAAGTTCTTCCAGAACCGAGATCTATGGGAAGACCGCGAACTGCCTAGTCGCACATATGGCTGGGTTGCATTCTGCACAGCCAACGTCGTTTGTGAAATCCCCATGGCTATCGTATCTGCCACCATCTACTGGCTGTTGTGGTACTTCCCCGTCGGCTTCCCGGCTACTTCGTCTGTCTCTGGCTATACCTATCTCATGGTTCTGGTCTGGTCTCTGTTCCAATCCAGCTGGGGCCAGTGGATTTCCGCCTTCGGGCCTTCTTACTCGACGGTGTCAAACGTAAGCAATTGGACCTTAAATGTGCTGTGATTTCCGGTCTAACATCGATATCAACAGATCTTGCCCTTCTTCTTCGTCATGATCGCCATCTTCAACGGAATCCTGGTGCCTTACGCCTCCATGCCGTCATTCTGGAAATACTGGATGTACTACATCAACCCAACAACTTGGTTCAGCCGAGGCGTCCTCTCTGCCGTCCTTCCCCCGGCAGTAGTGCAGTGCAGTTCTGCAGAGTTTGCCAGGTTCAATCCGCCTCCAGGCTCAACGTGTGGTCAATACGCCGATAGATTCGTCAATGAGGTCGCGATGACAGGCTACCTAGAAGACCCTAACGCGACTAGCAACTGCGGCTACTGCCCGTACAACAACGGCGGCGAGTACATGCAGACGCTCAATGTCCACAATAGCGATAAGTGGCCAGCTTTTGGCATCTTGATTGCCTTTGCCGTTGCCAACTGGGCTCTTGTGTACTTCTTCGTTTACACTGTTAGAATCCGGGGATGGTCTTTTGGGATTGCGACAGTGACAAGGTGGTGTTCAAAGCTTTTAAGCAAGATCTTTGGGCGCGGCAAGCAGAGCACCAACAAGAATGCCGAAGCTTGATCTAGATGGAAGGAGCTAGAATAAACTCGATTGAACATCGCTACTACGTAAATCATCTGTGTAATAGTAGGACACAATTCTTCGCAGCTTGGGGTATCTGTCTTCCTCGCACAATATGCCCCAATCGAGACTTGCTTGGCTGGCATCCAGCACAGCCGAAAGGATACATAGGCTCGCCGCAGAATGGCGCGACTATTTTCACCCCGAAAACGACAAACGAATGAAAATCTTGGACGTTCCCGTGTGACACACCCCCACCGGCGCTAGCTGCTGAGGCTTCTTGCAGACCGAGATCGACGTCTTCAGTCGGGGATTCTGAGACATTCATTTAGCACCGCGGCCCGTCGCGCCAGGCAACCTAACCCCCATGCTCGACGCGTCTTGCAGAACATCAAAATCGGGCTGTCGCCTCTGACGCATGCCGTCAGAGGAGCTTTGGTTCGTAGCTGGTTCTTTGATATTGTGTCTATTTGTGCCTCTGATTGGGGTGCATCGCGCTTCGCCATGTCTTTGAGCACACTTGGAGGGGATGCCATCATTGATGAGAAGCACGAATCTCAGCCTACTTTCGAACATGTCCCCGGCGCTTCCCTTCTCAAAGGGTTCCCTGTGTCTGCGGACATAGACCGATGGTGCTATCGACACAGGTCGCGGGATGGTACCGAACCAACGCTAGGAGTAATATACTTCGACACTGGTAGCGACGCGAAAGAGTACCTGCAGATCAAAGCCGAGGTGGCTGCTAAGGTACATACATCACTCAACCTACTATGGAGTGAGAGGATTCAACTAATATTAAGATGTTTAGGCTGGTATTCGATATATATCACACCGACTTCCGCCTGACGCGTCGGTCGATGAGACGCTCGATAAAATTGCGGAATTGAATGAAGACGAAACCACTCATGGCATCTTAATACAGCGACCTCTACCCCACCATCTCGAGGAACACGAAATAATGGGTAGCATTCACACCAAGAAGCACATTGAGGAATACGCAAAGGGATATGCGACCAATATTGCAGCGGATGCCCTGAGACGGCTACTCGACGCCTACCAAAAAGCCTGGATGCTCGACCTGACCATCGTTCTGGTGGGAGGCACCAACATCATCACGCCAGGCTTCAAGGCGGACTTGACACGCCATCTTCCCCACGTCGAAATCCTGGAAGCGATCGATAGTAAATTGGCTGACATCGATTGGAATGATTCCAAGCGCCACTTCGTTATTATGACGGAACGGAACGAGGGCGGATCCATCAAACCGAGCATGATTGGATCCGGGGTTAAGCTGGTAGTTGACCTCGGTTTTGATGTGAAGACCAAAATGGGTGATTTGGATCCTGAAGTGCACGACATTAGCAATCTTGTCGTCGTGCCTACTCCAGGAGGAGTGTTACCGATCATCATTTGGCTCATGATGGAACGCACGATCAAGGCAAAGACACACCTAGACTCCTCTCGAATCTGCTATCCTCTAGGCATGCAGTCTGGATGTACAGTCTCCTAAGCACCCCTGACTATGGAGTGCGATGTGGCCAGGTACAGAAGGCTATCTTCGACATTAATCACTAATTTAAAGTTCTCAGAGCTTGTTAGCTCGAGTCGAACACCGAATAAAATACATATCGATGTTTCATGCCTTTTCCACCTCGCTAACTCCCATACTAACTTCTTTCTTCAACTCATCACCTTGAATCAATCCCAACTGTTGCCTGATAATTGCCATTCTGATCATGTCTGCTTCTCCTTGATTACCACCAAAAATCTTGTCCATCTCTTCGATCCGAACTCCCTTGGTTTCGGGGACGAAGAAGTAGACCCATACAATGAGAACCACACAGAACGCTGACAAGTTAGTATTATCTCATGCACTCGACAGTCCAAGGAGTTTCTGACTTACCCAGGAAGAAGTAGAATGTGCCGAATGTGATCGCCTCGAGCATTCGGGGAGTGATCAGAGCAACGATGAACTTTAAATGTGAGCTTTGCGTGATAGACCATCAACATTTCGTATTGACTTACGTTGCTCAGCCAATTGGTTCCAATCGCAAGACCAACTGCCTGGGATCGGACTCCAGGCGGGAATATCTCCGAAGGCATAATCCAGTTGACGCATCCGATGCTGAAAGCAAAATTGGCGATGTAGGCCCATACAAAGAACGCAGCAGCCCACCCAGCCGACTTATTGCTTCCCCAGCTGTCCTTGTAGACAGCATAAAGAGTTCCAACAATGAGCTGGGAAACCCCCATCCCGACTCCACCGATGAGGAGGACTTTCTTCCGCCCCCATCTGTCCATGAACATGATGGCGGGGATGGTGGAGAAGAAGTTGATGACACCGACAACGCCAGTTGCCAGCAGATCTACGGAGTTGCCTGAAAGTCCTATATTTCGAAAGATTGTTGGCGAATAATAGATGATGGCGTTGATGCCTTACCGTGTTGTTAGTCATTCGCTGAGGAAGCACTGGAATTTCCATTTGACTTGGGACATAACCAAGTGGTACAATCAAGTCAAATAAAGGACATACCGGTAAATTGTTGTATGAGTTGAAGGAGGCAGGCAATCGCCAAGCGACGATTGAGATGGCGAATAACGAATAGCGACTTGTATCTTTCCAACGTGAGTTTCAGGCGTGAAGTCACGCCAGGATACAACTCGGCGGTTGTCTCGATGTCAAATCGGGCTGCGACCTTGATCTCTGTCAACTCGAGCTTAAGCCGAGCATCTGTTGAGGGAACACGCCGGATGCGGACGAGGGTGGCAAGCGCATCTTCCTCGCGATCTAGTAGTTGAACGTAAGTATACGGCTAATCGCCTATGGTCTCGATCATCCATACCTTTCATCAAAAGCCAGCGCGGGGTGTATGGCAAAAAGAAAGTCCCAGCTCCGAGTATCACCGAAGGCACACATTGGAGAGCCAGTGGGAGTCTCCAAGCTGCAGGAGACTGACCGTCACCTGTACCTCCGATATGCTGGGTCCCGTAATCTAGCCAAAAGGCAACCATGATTCCCACTGTGATACCAAGCTGCTGAAGCGCCACAAGACTTCCTCGAAGGTTTGGCGGCGCGAGCTCACTCAGGTACAGGGGAACAACCATGGACAACTGGCCGATCGACAACCCAGCAATGAAGCGGCCAATGAACATCATGGGAACATTGATCGACGCAGCTTGGATGATCGAGCCGATGAGGAAGATGATGTTGGCTAGGAGAATAGTCCAGCGACGAGACAGGGCGTCAGCAATTGGGCCATTGACCAAAGCGCCAACCATTGCTCCCAGTGTGAGTACTGCCACCATCCACCCTCGGAGAGTCGCATCTTCAGAGAGGGTTGGAAATTGTTTGGCCTGTAAGGATAGCCATTAGGTTGTTGAGACCCACGGGCGGTAAAGGGGTTAAACGCAGACTGACAAAGTTATTCATCACCAGAACGCCACTGATTACACCTTGGTCGTAACTGAAGGGGCCTCGATCAGTTTTGCACTTCAAGTTGTCTTCTCATCAGAAATGCCAGGAGGCTACGTGGAAACTTACCTAAATAACACACCACCAATGCTTGCAAAACATGCGAGAAAAAAGATGTATGGCTCGTGAACGAGACCTTTGTAGCCTAGTAATGCTATTTAGTGACGCTCGTCATTGAGGCCAAAACTTTGGTTCCGATTACCAGCTGCGCCATATGAGATTTCCATGTCGACTATAGTGCCTTGTTCTGGGAATTGGGTAGAAGTAGGGGCATTATAATTCAAGAAACAAGAGGTCAAGACTTGCAGCTGCAGAAGCAAAGAGCATGATTATACATAAAGAAGACGTGACATATCGTCGGAGAATTCCCCCCAGATGACCCACGTCAGACTCTCTGGGGTTCCTATAATGACCGGGGAAACTGGGGAAAGTGGATGCTACCACGGTGCCGCAAGCCTGAATCTTGTTGTCGGCGCGCTGTGCTCCGAAGGTGGAGGCGACGAGGATGCTTTCATCAGATGACTCCAACTTGTAGTTCGTCGGCGTTGTTCTACCCGACATGCTTTCTTCAGTAACATCAGACCCAATCCTTCCATCAACGTCCGAGAAAGATAAACTTCCACCCCGCTTTGAGTTAAATACCCTGGTCTCAATGTCATAAGGTACTCATGTCACGGCTCCGTCTTCGGACTTCACAATGAGAGCGGTGGTTCCCTCAGCCTCGGTTTGTCTCCCGCCTAAATTAGGTTACGAACACGTTCGATTTGACGTGAAGCTCTCGCAAAATTCTCGTCAATTAGCTCCAGACTTATGTTTAGTGTGACTGATTCCCATCGTGTTGGTAATACTTCAAGACAACATATTCTCGATAACGATCCATAATGATTACTTCCAGCCGCTCTGGTAGAAGCCTCTACAAAGATGCCCTTTTGGTCTATTACCTGTCAAAGATGAGAATATTTTAGGCAGGAAGTCTGGTGTCATCAAGCTCCCTTCCAATGCGGTTGATCCCGGATGTGTACAGCTGAGGTAGGTAATGTTCGATCTACCGTAATGAACGAATATTGAAGGTGACACCAAATTATTCTACCGCTGATTCAACATTAAGGCCACAGCTATTTTGACCATACAAATGTTAGGTGAGTTAAAGAAGTCGTTGCAGAAAGAGAAGGCGGCACAATTTTCCCTTCACGTTTAGGAACATACATAAAATGCGGAGGACCATATCCAAAAAAAAAAAAAAAAATGATTCAGTAGTGTTATGATATTTTGTTCACGTTCCTCCGAAATTGAATTGTTTTTTAATTCACTAGATGATGGGAGGTTTATGAGGCTACCTTATGGCTCATTACAACTCGTGGGTTTGCAAGAGAAAAGTCTTTCGTTGGGAATTTGTGAGAGACTCCCTTGAAACACATGTTTCCCAGGCGATACAACCATCTTGTTTTATGGTAACGCTCGCCAACCCCTTAAAGCCTCATTATCTGATTCTGCCTGTGATCCAAGCCACACCGCAACATGGCGACTTTGGGCACCAGGCACGCAACTCAGGAAGGCACAAAATGCAATGCTGTGCGCACTGACCCTTTTCGAGCGTTATGTTATTTATGAAAACCTCACCTATTTTGGATTAATCCTTCATCATCGAGATGCCGATCGATCCGCGCGGCATTCAACAGACTGGAGGCTTTCGTCCGTCGTACTACAAAGTCTCTCTGGCTTAGCACTCTGACAGCAAGCCACAATATTGTCGCCCCTGCCGATGGAATTGCGTCTATTCCTCATTGCGTTATTCATCAGGCGTTGTGGCTTGACAGTTCAAGCCACGAGATTCTAGGCTGCCAAGTCGAAACGGCGAAGGGCGGGAGTGGGTGCCGAGCTCGGCGTTCTATCTGGGCTCGTGCACTTTAAGGGGACAGCAAAATTTTGTGAAAATCATGAAGCAAAGGTAAGGGAGGTAGATCGGCTCGTCCCGGTGCTTTCCCTCGAAGTCGTTCACGTTCTTACATATATGCGAGCAATAGGGGCATGCTGTCTGTTGTCCTTCGTAGTTGAATGTGAAGCGAAATCAGAGTCGTTCAAACTTGAGTGAGAAAAGCCGCAAAACCGTTCAGGAGGCGGAAGTAGGCGACTTCAACATGGCTTTTGTGAAAGCCGATATGACGGAAGCGACCGCGCGGCCTCCCGAAGATGGCGACGCCCTCAAGCCCATGAAGCCAGGAACACTTGGATCCAGTCCTACTTGGGCACAAGCGCTCAGCCGATCTATCACTAGTCACGCTAGTACCTGGCATCGACTCATCATCTGTGCAATCAGAGTCGAGATCGGCAAAATTTCTTCCGTACTCGCTTTCGCGGCAGTCTAGTGTAGACCGGCGCCACGATCGGCGCGAACCTTGCCCTTTCTGGACCTCATGATAACTTCACTTCTACTTTTCGCCTCTTCGCATCGAGATTGCGGTTTTGAGTGGCAACTGCTGTGGTAACATTGATGCATGGCTTCTGCTTCATCATCGCAACAGCTCAGTCTTAAGCAAAATTTTAGAATTCAGGTCGCCTTATATGTGAGATCTGAACTGTAGATAGTTTGATGTAGGTAAGGGTTGATGGAAGAGCAAGACCCGAAACACCCTGTCAACTGACAACATGAACACATGTCATGAGATACTCTGAGGTATTTTCTTTCCTAAAGGCCAATTCTTGGCCGAGAATCTGATAGCAGTCAAGCTTGTGACACATAGTGACGAATCCGAAGCTGAAATTCACCTGATCAGCTCAATCGAATGTGACTTTAGTCGAGAAGCACCGAAAAATTTGGATGCCTCCGAATACTCATGAGAAAATCCGAGCTGGAAGATCGCGTAATATTTCTTGGGCATGTTATGCGGTGCACTCCTTTGTTCCAGACTTCTCCCCGGCATCCACTTTTGCGGAACCACATCGATAATGGCTTTCCCATCTTTTTGGGTTTCCCAGGAAGCTTATTTTGGTCTTAGCTGCTCAATAGATTGATCGGCGACATGCGATAGGAGCAAAGCGCATCCTCGTTGTCCGTTCCGTCGGTAACACCGTAGGACTAACATATCAAAGGCATGGCGTCTACTCGCTTAGCGCCTTACGATGCAGAGTAGTCAGGGACTGTCCCTCAAAATTTCTCATCTGCCGAAGCAACATCATAGGTCAACAAGCGGTCTCTCACCACTTTGCTGGACTATTGATCGCCAGCCGCCCGTTACCCCTGCTGTCAACCCCTGCATATTCGAGTCCAGACTCTTACGCAAGCTGGGGATCTCCACCAGGCACGAGGGGTTGAGCTAGGTAAAATCTGCTGTTTTGGGTCCGTGGACTCTCAGCTACAACTCCCGTTGCGAGCTGAATTCCTCAATCTGGCAACGGGCAAGGCGGCTACACGCTCAACCCACGTGGATCTATCATCGACCTGACCCAAGAACACCAGACTCAAGCCCAATACAGACATCTGTGCGGCCTTAGGGGTCCAGAATCTGTTACCAACAGTCTGGAAATGCTGTCTAGCAGGGGAGCAAGGGCCTTTAGAGCGAACAGCACACGGCCGCCTTTCCCAATCCCATGGTACAGCTCCGTGGTCCAGCTCCGGACCTAGTCCTCCACCGCTTCTTGCCGGCCGCGTGATGTGGAAATGAGCTCTCAGCATCAACACTATTGTATGCATCGTGAAGATGAAGCGAGTCGTGGAGAGAGCTGCGCACTGTTGCTGTTGTCGCAAGGGCGATACTGGCGAACGGGAGAGCAAAAAGCATTGGCTAGACTACGAGGTCAGAGACGTCGTGGGATGAGTACAAAAGGAACTGAGATATCCGTCATTATCGACGAAATATCTCACCAGTCAACTCAAGCCTCTTCGCTCCTCTTCACTCTCTTTACACCTTGAGCTCCGATCCTTGAAAGCTTTTTCTTTCGATCGACTTCTCCAGTTCGACAGAGATCATTCAAAATGCGCTCTGCTCCTATCATCAGCGCCTTTGTCGCGCTCGCCAAGGCCCAAGATCTTGTCTGGCAGGTCATTGACGATGCTCCCGAGCCGCCTCACACCACCGTCCCCATTGGTGCTTCCCCAACCGTCGTTCCTTACGATGCCAACGCTGCTGCCGCCAGTGTCGTCGCCGAGGTCAAGGCCAGCCCGCTTCCCCAGGAGACTGCGCCTGTCAAGTCGGAGAAGAAGCGTCTCGTTGAGCGCTCCGCTTGCGAGCCTCAGCCCGTCGGATACGGCCCCGTCTCGAACCCCGACACTTCGGCCGCTTTCCTGAGCGACACGGACCTCTCGTCGGCTGCCAACAATGCTGCCACTCCCTCTGGTTACTTCAACACCTTCAAGAACCTGCAGGGATCCAGCAGTGCCTATGGCTACATGGGTTACACTACCCTCACTAGCTACGACACTCAGGCTTGCGCTTCCAAGTGCGATGCCATTAACGGCTGTGTTGCTTTCAACATCTACTTCGAGCGCGACCCCTCTATTGTAAGTCTTGAACCTTATCAACACAAATGACCAAGCTCTGACTCCATCTAGGAACCCGCCGATGCCTGCCCCAACCCGGCCAGCACCAATGTCATCAAGTGTGTTTTCTGGGGTGGTCCCGTCTACGAGAACACCGCCACCAACCGCGGCCAATGGCGCAACCAGTTCGAGGTTGTGATTGCCGGATCCAACGGCTACGTTGCCCAGCGTGCCGATGACCAGGCCGGCTACAGCTCCGCCGTCTACTTGGGAGATAACTCCATCAACGCTCCCCTCGACTGCGCTGGATACGACACCTTCTTGGGTTCCAAGATCTTCACCGACGGTCCCTTCGATCCTAAGCTCTGCGCTGCTGCCTGTACCGCTCAGTCCGAGTACAACGTTGCTCACCCTCCCGCGAACGCCCCCGCTCAGACCTGCCAGTTCTTCAACACCTTCTTCGTCTTGAAGAATGGAGTTCCCGAGGGACAATACTGCTCCTTGTACTCCAAGTCCTGGGACAACAGCTATGCCGTCAACAACGGCCAATGGCGCGGCAGTGACCACTACACCATCTCTTACAGCTTCTCCTACACCAACGCCACGGACGCCGGCAAGCCCAGAATCCCTTGCGCCGTCGCCAGTGCCAGCTCTGCCATTGTCACCTCCAGCCTTCAGCCTTACTGCTCCTCTCTCCTCGGCTACACGACCCCGGTCACCACCGCCACCGAGACTGACTTCACTACCATCCCTGCCACCACCGTCGTCTCGACTGTCACTCCCTTGACCACTTCTTACAGCACCACTACCCAGCTGGTTGCCGTTACCAAGCAGCTCAAGCGTGACCTGCCTCCCCGTCCCACCACTACTTGCCTCCACGATGACCCCACTCCCCTCGACCACTCCATCAAGGTCAGACGTGGTCTCTGGGCCCGCGATGAGCCTCTCGTCAACGGTACCAAGGATGATGATGGAAACTTCGTCGATGTTGTTGCCCTTCCCGATGTCACTCCTTCCAACACCACCACTCTCAGAAAGGCTCGCCGCGATGGTACCCCCGCTGGTCTTTCCGGATTCTCTGGTATGTTTCATTCTCCTCAGTCTCAACCCGCTTGATACTAACTGCTATCTCCAGCCGATGTCGTCTCTTCTGCTTGCTCTCTGCTCGCCACCCCTGTGACCAGCACCATGACCGCCTCCGCTACCACTGTCCAGACTATCACCAGCGGCGCGGCTTTGAGCACCACCACTGCAGCCACTAGCACCGTCATCGTCGTCCAGACTGTCACTTCTACCACCACCATCAACGTCGCCGCCAGCGCTCCTACTGGTACCATCGGCTACCTCAGCATCAACCCCATCGTCAACCCCAACTCCCAGTACGCCCTGTCCGACGATGCCACCCACATGACCGACAACTGGTACAAGCAGGGCAGCCGTGAGACCTTCATTGTGGCCGCAGACGGCAGCCTCTACTCTGTCACCCACAACGCCTACTACTACATCGACACCTCGTCCACTTACAGCTTGCTCTACTGGTCCAACAACAAGAGCAGCGCCATGAAGATCTTCTCCTACACCACTCTCGCCAACGGCAACTCCCAGGTCTTCATGAACTCCAATGGCAAGGCCTACCAGTTCTGCATCCGCCAGGCGAGCAAGGTTGGCGACGGCAACACCGGCTCTGGCCAGCACATCTACGCCTTCTCCACCGCGACTGCACCTCTCAGCTACTGCACCATCGTTGATTTGATCATTATCCCTGCATAAGCGAATCGAGCAACCACCTTCGTTATGGTTTCATATATCAACATTAGAAAGATGGCGTGGCGTTTTAGTGATAGGGGGTGATTTCCTTAATTTTTCTTAGACTCTTGGCTTCAGACTTCAAATATCAAGCAATAATTAATATTAATGAAAAAAATATCTAAAACACTCTGCACGTTCCCGCCCCAACAGTTTCTTATGGTCAACATGCCACGTTCCTAGTATAAGAATCGTGATAAGGAAGGTGGCAAGATTTGGATCGCACTTCGAGTCTAACAAGCCTGGCACTATTTGATCTACGCAGCCATCGTCGCCGACTTTCTACAGTTCACGGACAATATTGGCGTACTATGATATTGGGAGGCGAAAGCAGTTTGCTGATACAAACGGGGCCATCATTAAGACTCTTGGCAATGTCCGTCTCTCTTGGGATGGTCTGTGAAGCAAGCCGTATTCCCCACCCAGCTCCCCCGCAATTCATCCCGCATTTGTGGCTTTTGAGTGGCGTACATCGGGCGACTGTGCTCCGAGGACAACGTCTTTGAGGGGTAGAGCAAAAGTTCGGAGTTTAACAACTTGTTTGATGAGCCGTATGCAAGCTTGATAATATCTTAAAACTCTCCAAAGAGACCTGAGATGTCTCACGCAGCCTCGAGAGATATTTGCAGGGACGATAAACTATATTTGAGCTCAATTTCGGCCCTCTGATCCCCGATGTTCTACATGAGTCGAACTATTCATGACAGGGACTGAACGTTGAAGAACGAAGTATGCCGGACTCTAGCCGCCGATGTCCCCATCCAAGCACCGTCCGGGCCTGCGTCAACTGCCAGAAGCGCAAAAGCCGATGCATGAGAGGCAGCGCAGCCAACGACCCATGCTCTTACTGCGCCAAAACAGGCAAGACGTGCAGCTTTGAGAAGCCCCCTGATCGGACGCCTCTGACCCGGAAGAACCTCGACGCAGCCGAGCTCCGGTGCAAGCAGCTCCAGAATCTCATCAGGTCCTTGAACCCGGAGCTTGACATCAACTCAGCCCTCGAAGAGACACAGATCCAGCAGGAGTCAGTAGGAAATGAAGATGATGGCGGCAGCGGCTCGTTACATTCCCCACCGGGAGACTCGGATGAAGTCACACCTCACAGCTACGAATGGCACGAAGGGTCGCTGTCGCCAGAGTTCAAATCTTCAGCCCACGAGAATGACGGAATGGCCGTGCTGCCAACCCACGACTCTGGTTACTTAGGTAAGCCATGCCCGAGATTGGTCTGCGGAGGACAGTTGACCGAAGAGCGATGCCTGACGTCAACCTCTAGGGAGCAGTTCTGGTTCCCAGTTGCTTGGGGAGATCGATTCCGTGATCCACGTTGCGCAACCAGCTACTCACCACCACACATCGCATCGTAAAAGACAACGTAGATCATCCAGTTCAGCCGGGTTTGCGGCACCTGAACCTTTCGATCTGCCATCATCATACATCGCTGGCCGGTTGATCGATGCCTACTTCCTACTCTACAACACCTCCTACCCGGTTCTTCACGAGCGGATTTTCAGAGAAAGGGCTGACGCAGGGCGTCGTCAACGGCTCACGAACTCGCCATGGCGCGTCGTCTATCAGATGGTTTTGGCCATCGGCCACTGGCTCTCTAGCACCGAGTCAGAGCATCTACAGTCGAGCTACTACAGCGCAGCGCGGTCCAGTCTGTCTCTTCAGATGCTTGAGTCCGGCACCATCGAGACAGTTCAGGCCTTTTTGCTTATGAGCAACTATTTACAGAAGAGAGATAGGACCAATACTGGCTACAACTTTAGCGGTTTGGCGTACCGAATGGCATTGGGTCTAGGTCTTCATCGCGAACCTCCAGGGTTAGAGGATACTTTAGGACATGAGCGGCGACGGCAGCTCTTCTGGACTATCTACTGTTTTGAGAGCGGGTTTAACATCACCACCGGAAGACCACCCGCGATGTCGGAAGATTTCATAGATACCCGGATTCCGCGAAACATCGACGATAAGGTATGTTGTCTTTCTAAGTTCGATCCTTTTGATTCCTATTGGCTCATTCCTTCTAGAAACTGCCACTCAAGACACCGGTACCGCCACCAGTCAATTACCCAACTACCTACTCAGCAATCATCGCCCAAGCAAAGCTAGCCAAAATTGCTGATGCTGTGTATCATGAGTTTCTATTGGCAAAAACCGCCGGAACAAAAGTCGAATATAGAGTCGCCGAAACAATGGACCGAGATCTCAACTGCTGGCAACAAGCTTTGCCCGCATATTTCACCCAGACCGATTGCCCATCGTGGTTCCGGGCGCCTCGAGCGGTCGTGCTGTGGAAAGAGCAGAACCTTCGCATACTTCTCTGGCGTGGCAGTCAGCAACACCACAGCTACCTGCCCACCAAAGTGAAGGCGGAAGAGAAATGCTTGAACGTCGCTATGCAAAGCGTTCATGATATTGCTACTTTCTGTATGGCAAATGAAGTCTCTCTACACCAGGGTGTCGTGTGGTACGCGACATACTTTCTTTTTCAGGCCACTTTAGTCCTGGAAGCAAACTATCTTACCAAAAGCACTTCCACAGACCACACCGACAGACTTGCATGGCAGCACTCAGTCTCCAAATCACGCGCCTGCTTGAAGACCTTGGCGCAGAAGAGCAGATCGGCTAAACGATGTCTGGAGATGCTCGATCGCATCCACAGCCAGTTCCAGTTTCTACCGCAATTAGACTTGGAACTGGATCAAGCCTACTTCCAATCCGTGGTTCCTCAAATGGTAGATGAGGCTGAAGCGAGACCGACGGCATCTTACTTTGTCGCGCCGACCCAGAACTTTGCTGATCTGCCGAGTGAGAATGACTTTGCCTTCTATAGTGAAAGTCAACCGGCTTTTGATGACGATGCTGCGGACCCAAGTTTGCGGATGCTGCTCAACGAGTCTTCCATAGACTTCATGGAAAACATGCCGCTCGACCTATTACTTGGGGATTGGACATCTTGATGTCAATTTTTAAACTTGAGTGACTGATCGTTCATGACAAAGTCATCACACACAATAGTGGTGCCACGACGCTTTGTTACATCAAGGGGAAATGAAGTGTTTCGCATTCCTTGTCATGGACAATTAAATTGTAATAAGAAAAAAGCTCTTCAAAATGGCGCAGGATTCACAGGGATGCGATGCTGATCTACGTGCTCAAACGCGCTCAAAAGACCTCCCATTGCTCTATAACTAGGCGACAATGCTCTAATCGCTCAAGCCATGACAAAGTCTACACAACTCTCGTATGTCTGCTTCGCTGCAGTGCCAACCCAGAACCATTGAACGACGCACTGGCCAGCCTGAGCGCAGGTGCCCGCAGGCAGGTTGGAGGGCATGGTGATGTCAAAGTCGGTGTTGTTCTTGGGCAGCGCCGCGAGGTTCTCGTCGGCGTAGCTGTCGAAGACGATGAGAGGTTGTCCGATAACCTTGTTGGTTGCGGTATCGACGATGGAGACGTTCATGGGGCCCTCGTGGGGGATCGGGATCTCGGCCTTCATGTTGACGACCTGTCCAGCCTTGAAGGTCTGGACGTTGGCCTTGTTGTCCTCGAACTTGGCTCCTCTGCACAGATCAAGTTGGCCTTGGGTATAGTGTTAGTAATTTGGGTCATTCGCTCATGTGCCAGAGGGCTGCTTACATGTTGCAGGAGGGTTGGTGAAGTCTTCCAGAGGAATGGTGGGATCGGCAGTGACGGCCTTCACGTTCGCTTGTCCACACGCTGCAGCCATTGCGGCGCCGACACCACGAGCAGGAGGCGAGACGATGTTGCCATGAGCAGAGACCAAAGCGGCGAGCAGCGCCGTGGCGGCAGTGATTGAAGCGCGCATCGTGAAGTGATTACTTGGGATGTTTGTTTATCGGCCTGTGAAAGCGGAAGTGCAGGTAGTCTGGCGGTTTTTGAATAAAGGACAGTGTTTGAATTAGACAAGATTGAAAGAAACGAGTGACCAGCACGATGATTTGAATGATGAGACAAGGCGAGCAGAGACCGGACGAAGCAGCGTCAGGGCCAGATGTGCGGCCTTGCGACTACAAATACCACAACTCGGTCTCAGCCCGACGACGATGTGATCCTTGTCGCTGACAGAGAGATGTCAATGATCCGACGCTGATGGCCCGGCGATCATAGCTTCCAAGCCAGCCTCCCATAATCCTTGCGGCCTGCGGAGGCTAACCGTTAGCCGGAACCACGGGAACTAACGTGGTACCCCGTTCTTCTCTTTGCCCACGACCAGCTGTAAGTTGCTCTCGTTAAAAACAACCCGAGGGTGATCCCTGGAGCGAAACATGCGTTGTTGAGGCTCTTCAGGTACGAAAGCAAGACAAGCTTGGTGGGATCCACGCGGGTGAAACGTCGCAAGTTCTTGAGCCGCTCTGCTTCCGGTGCGGACGGTTGTGGACGTGGTCACAACTCGCGAAACCTGCGACAAACCCTGTCTGGGGGTTCGGGCGTTCGCGCAGCAAGAAAGCGAGAAGCTCAGAGGCAACAATACTTTAATTCTTAGAGAGATGCGAGAACCAGCACTTTGTGCAGAGTTCAAGCAAAGAGCGATTTGGGAATTTGGGTTATTCTCGAGTCATCGAGCTATCATAATCGGGGCGACACCAAGCGCTGGTTCCAGTGCCAAGCCGTCAGTTTGGATGTTGGAACCGCGAAATATCGGGATGGTGGGTATGAGTGAACCGGTGCTCCGGAACGCCACGGCGCGCCACGGCGGCGCCCCCAAAGTCTTGAGCAATCCGGCCACTAATTGAGGACGAGATCTCCGGCTCGGCGGCCGGGGTCTTTATTCTTGGTGCGCTACGGAGCAGCCCCTTGCCCACCGGCCCTGGACCTCAAGCAACGCCAAGTCGTCTACAACTTCCTGCGTGAGAGATCTGCGAGTCATAAGGCTATCTTAAGCAGATTACCAGCCAGGAATGCGACGCTATGAGGAGGCGATCACTCAGCTACCA